GCGAACTACCGGGGGTTTAGCGACTATCAAAATTTGGGGAAACTTCAACACGACGAGGGTAGAGATGAGGGGTAGGATACTATCAGCGCCATCGCTGACACTTATCTACAGACCGCGCGAAAACGCACTGAGCGCGAATTGCGAACTGCAAGCCGCGGTCGGGGTCTGGCGCTAGGAAGTAAACATTGCGTTGGACGCGGAAAAAGCCGCGTTCAGCTGCTTAGCGCCACCCCGAGCCCCGCTTCCACGGGACGGCCTTGGAGTCATGTGTTGATCTTGGGATAGTAGAGCCGGATCGGCATCCCGTCCCGTCGCAGTACACTGACGTCGAGACGGTGCATTCTGCCATGCTAAGGAAGAACGCCGTATGAACATTCGACAAGTGCCAACTTTCCCTTGTTAAAAATTGTATTTTTGACGACATTCTTGCACAATTTCCTTTGAAATTTTCAGATATTTTAGATTAAATTTCATACGAAATCGTCTGAAAATTTTAAGGGGAAATATTCACGATTTTCCCAGTAAATTCGGTATTTATCGAAGGAAACTTGGCAACGTCTGAAGACTCATACGGCGTTTTTCTTTGGCACGGTAGCGTTGTCGTCTATGCCAGGGTGTCAAGCCGCTCAGACATACTGTCGTGCTAAGGAAGAACGCCGTATGAACCTTCAGTCGTTGCCACATTACCTTCGATAAAAACCTAATTTACTGGAAAAATTGTGTTTGTTTTTCTTCAATTTTTTCAGACAATTTTGTTAGCAATTTTGTCTTAAATGTTTGAAAATTTCAAGGATAAATACGCATATTCTTTCTCAAAAATACATGTTTTATCCGAGGCAATTTGGCAACTCCCAAATGAACATACGGCGTTCTGCCTTAGCACGACAGCGTAGTGCTGCGTTTTCGAAAAAATCGATTGATCCGATCGATTCGATGTTTTTCAAAAATCGGAAATTATTAATTTAAAACAAATGAAATGACACGATTGAAAAAAATTGAGGATGCAGAATGTTTAACGAATTCGCACCCGTCTCAACAAGCTGAAGAAGGAAGAAGAAAAGTTGGAAGGTAGAGTGAAACAGAGTGGATTTCCCGAAAAGAGTCAAGCAATATTATATCCATGAGTATAGCAGAGATCGCCATTATTTGGGAATATATCGTCCAGTTATTGCGATTTTGCGGTAAGATGTACGGACTGCCCATCCTCCTAATGGAGAGGGCGAAATTTTCGAGATAAATTGTAATATTATCATGATAAATAGAAACAAATGAGCAGTGATCATTTGCAATTCCTGGCTGTGTCGCAGATTGCCTACCTCCTCAAATCGAGGAACCTTCCAAGCCCTGCTATAAAATCGCTAAAAATCGTAGAAAATTGTCCTTATATTGTCAGGGAATTGTAATTTTATCGCAACCTTGAGGCAATATGTCGGAACATTACTGAAATTCCAGCGTTGTAAAATGCGACTTGGGATCTTCGAAAGTAAAACCTTAAAAATCGCAATCGAAATCCGTCGATTTCACCTTCCTTAAGTGAACAGTTCTGTTAAGCGCGTGAAATTTCATTTCAATCAGACAAAATATTGAGCATCGATCTTGTTCATTTTCAAAATAATGAAAAATTGACAACTCTTTGTGAAAGACATGTCAAACTTTTTACATCTTCAACAGTTGACAATATGCACTCGAAAAAACGACTAACTCGACTCAACGCCGAAAGCGTTTCCTCGTAAGGAATTTCGAAAAATGGCGTAAATGCAATGCGTCAATTCGCGGTAGTGAATGAATTGAATTAAAAGTTGGTTCATGGGTAAAACTTTTAAAGTTGCATAAAATAATGAGTCTTGTTTAAGGCTAAAATTTCCACGTCCGACATTTACAAATACATTTTTCGGCCATGATTTTTGAGGTAATCCGTGCAACGATATACCTACCTAGCGCAAGTCATAATTTCTCATTTCTGTATTTTAAAAGACACAGTGCGGCTTTTCAAAATGTGAGTGCTCCTTTTGCAAACCCGGTAATATGAAGGCGCGATTTTTTGGACATCTCTGAACCAAGAAAATTTTTCGGAGAAAGCAAAGTCCTTTTCCGATTTCTTAATGGACATGTTGCAAACGTCAGCTAGAAGCAAGAAGATGAGTTGCCTCTTCAAGAAGTTGACTAAAAAATCAAGATGAACGCATCGGGAAAGTTTGAACTACGCATTCTATCTTCTCAATCCGCGAAAGAAATATAAATTATTAAAGCTTCTCTTGCTTTCTTGAGAGCATTTTTAAGAAATATAAGAGGTGGCGTTCAGCCTCATGAAGCGCCAGCCATGTTGAATACTGTGTAGCATCCTAGTGCGCAAGAGTTGGATGGAGCGAGTGCCCGTGCAAAATGTTCACCTGTGCCGAAGTATCGTTTACGAAGCTTGAAAGAACGCATATTTCGGTTACAGGACATTTTTTCAAGTATTTTTTGTCAGTGCACCTGTTTTTTCTAGTAGTTTACGTCCACGCGTTTTTTAGGCAGGGGAGCTTTGGTCCAAGTACCAATTATTATTGAGACTTAAAATAAAATATTCTTGGCGGCATACTCAGGAATTTTTCTGCCTAAATCGAGTCACTTTTTTCCCTAATGAAATTTGAAAGTTTGGCTATAAACTTTATTGAATACGGATGCTAGGACTTGATGAGTTTTAGGACTACCGCTCTTTTTTGTGCCGTAGCATCTTGATTTATTTTGCGGAGAACGCTGCGTATTCTTAAAGGTTGCCCGTCATTCTTAATATGTTGGGGCGCCTTCAATTTCAAATGATACCATGCAACACTCCTGTTGTGAAATAGGTGCTTGAGGTGCCATGCCGCGGCACAGCGAGCGGGCGGCCAGCGCGATACGCGCATTGGCGCCTACAAACCTAAGTGGATACTTCAAACATTGCGCAATGCGTGAAGTATCCCCTTAGGTTTGTAGGCGCCAGTGAGCCTCTCGCGCTGGCTGCACGCCGGCCGCTCCGCTCTATTTGGCTCTAATATTTAAACTCGCAGAGTCAGCATTTTTCAACTCATGGTTTTGAAATGCTTGCACACTCTGCATGGACTATTCTCATTTAAATTGATGAAAAAAGATATGTATTAAAGGAAAATCTATTGTGTATTCTGTAAATATTAAGGTGATTCCGTGTCAAATTTAATGATTTTCAAAGCCCTCCAATTTTTTCTTTCATATTTTGTGCTTTTACTGTGCTGCAACCAAACGCTAAAAATTGGACGTATTTGATTCTAACAGATCCATGTACAAATGAGTTAAAGGTTGCGTGCTTTTTTCTGAATTTTTCCATTACTTTTTTCCATAAACTACCCCATTCCCAAGAAAATCGATCATAAAAATCGTCCGCACCTACCGACGTCATAAAAAAATCCGAGATGCAAACACCCCCTCTTTTTTCTCTGTGGAAAAACAAGTGTTTTGACCGTTTCGGGAAGTTCGTCGAACGAGATATTCGCCGATCGCGCGAATCACCAAACTCGTGGAGCTTTTTTGGACCGAAAAATTAAACTCCTCGAGTCAAGTCCAAGAGGACAAGCTTGATTTCAGCCCATTCGGAGAACTCCAAATTCGAAAAAAATCGGCAGGGGTTGCAAATGATCATTTTGGGGTCCTAATCGAAAGTTCTCCGATCGAGTGGAAGCATTGGCGGATCCAGCAAATTGGCAACATTCTTTTTCTCCATTTAAACCTACGGAAATGTATCGATTCTTGGAGGGGCTAGGTGCTCGGACAAGAATCGATTATTAAACATAGGTTTAAATGGACGGAATCCGGTGTTGCTAAATTGCTGGTTCCGCCTCTGGGTGGAAATTAAGGTAATCCCCTTGAAATTGACCCGCTGATTCCGATTATCTGGTCCACGAAGTTCCACCAGTCCGCTGGCTTTCGTGATGGGTGGGAATCCCGAATTCGCTGAACTTTCAAAAGCACTCGTTTCACGGCTGAGGAATTCCTGGAGAGCCTGGTGACCATGCGCGATCGATTTTCCTTCTCGACCTTCGTAGGATCAGTGGATCATCTGAAAATTTTATTTCTCGTCAAAAATCGAAAAAAGTGGCAAAGATTACGTGGACCAAAATTTCGGGGTAAATTTTACAGTCTGCCTCGTCACTATTTTCTTCTTTTTTCGATTTTTAAAGGGCAGACTTGCAGAAATCTTTTAATCCACTGTTTTGTTCTATAACAAAGAGTGTTGATATGCAATTCTTGAGAGTATAATTCCGTACCCCAAGATAGTTTTGCACACTTAGATGTGAGCATTACGTCCCGAGTAGCACAGATTGCAATAAGTACCAATGACGTAGTAAAAATATTACAATTCCACTAGGTGTTGTGTATGTTGCCTAGCTCCTATTTGAAGGGGCCCCATTTATTGAAACTTATTACAATAAAATTGAAATAAGATGCTATTTTTCATTGCATTGCATATTGCTTAACTTTCTGACACATGGAGCTCATTTTGCTGATTGTTTGAAATCGGCATAAATCGACTAAATATGATGTAAAAATATTGCAATTTAATGTTAAAAAAATTACAATTTTTGAAATCACATTGCAATTTAATTTCAATATTTTCACTGCACTGTGCTACTTGGGGTGGTTTGGATCGCGAGGTACGAACATTTTCGTGAATACTCTTTGTAGTTTCAACGTCTATCTCCTATTAAATAGCCCTGAAGAGGGTGGGGTCAAAATTGAAAAAAAAATCAAAATCACGATTCAGGCCTGGCCTCCGATAGTTCTGAAATTTTGATATATTCGGTAAACTTTTATGACTTGCCTCCGCCCATATATTTTGAAAATTGCAACTTGAGTCGGTTGAGCACAAGACGCGAGGGGGGATGCTCGGATTAGCTGTTACAGAATATGAGTACATTCGCTGAGTTTTTAGATCGAACTGGGTACGGCAGTAAGGAGCCAAGTCACTTTTATTAATAAAGGTCATTTATTTAAATTAAAGGAAATTTATAATTGATATAAGTCTATATTTATAATAAAATACAGGCTAAAGATCTACAAATTTATAATAAAAATAGCAACATAACTACAGGCACACTACATAATATTTTTGTAAATAATAACATTTCGCTCGTAAAATTGTTTTGATGCATTACAAAATCCATAGTTGGTAATAATTTCTGCTTCAGATCGAAAAAAAATCAAAGGAAAAAATCTAAGGTAATGGCTTAGTAAAAAACTAGAAAGTAAGTATTAATTTCATAGAGTAAAAATAATAGAATTCCTGAAACAAGGTAATGATACAAATTATGAAAAAAGACAATGCTATGATGGATACTTGCTGAGAGTATCCGCTTATATAAAAAAAAGAAAGAGAGAAAAAAAATATTGGCTAATGTTGACGTAAGCTGTACACCTATTTTACCTGAAAAATTTAAAAAAATTACTCAAAAAACAGAAAATTGTGTACATTTTTATTGTGAAAAATCGTTCACTTTCTTCTTCAAAGAAACTTTTCGCGAGGAAACTAAGGGTAAGAAATATTACACAATTTAATCTCATCGTTACTTTACAATGAGTCTTTCAAAAATTATTATAACCCTTGCTTTTTCGACTTATTTAACAGGAAAGCATTAAGAATGGCTCTGAGCACCATGTTGTCAACAAAAATATTTTGGTGGGTCAAGACTAGATATTACTTACAAGAGCCGACACCCGTTTCTTCACAGGAGTGTTTGAAGGGAAACACCCACTTCTTTTATTCAAAGGAAATTGAAAATTATGAGGAATATTTTCAAACAGCGGAATGCGTAGTGTGACTCGAATGAAATGCAATTATTGAGCGGGCAGGACAAACATAACTTACTTAAATGCGCTGGGAGCATTGGTGGGCATACTCTGTAATTTTATATGGTAATATGGGAGAACTCAAATATACCCATGGCTTTGATTTGAAGCTGCAAATTATTTTGATTCTTTGTCTGATTTCTTGCTTTGTTATGAACAAAACTTACCAATGAATTTCCGATAAGTGAAACACGGCTAATGGTTAAAGTTTTTGATTCATTTGGTAACGATACAAGGCTTCATATTGTGACAAGTCTAAAAGTTTATAAGTTTCAAACAGCAGTAGCCAAGTCTATGATTCAAACATTGATGAAGTAAAATGCAACTTTTTGTGTCTCACATTGTTTTGAGACATGTCATTTTTGGATAACTTTTGAATTAATTTATGGAAACACTATGAAAGCTGACATCAGTGCAAGATTTATGTTGGATTAAAAAGAAAAAGCCCGGAGGGTAGAGTTTTTGTTTTTAGACATATGCAAAGAGTTAAATGAATTTCAAAGCCTATATTATTTATAACAGCTAATTCAAAACAAATTTCATTAAAAACCTAGAAATACTATACAAATCACAATCCTAAAAATAAATGTGCGATAAAAACTTGTTTTTACTTACGAGTCGATGGAAGAATAATGTAACGAGGTGTAAGACCAGGCTTGGTTGAAAAAATTAAGTAGGTAATGGGTAAAAATAAGAACAACTCTAAAAAAAGCAGCAATTTTACAAATATGTACATTTCAAACAAGGTGAGGAAAAATGTTCCTTTACCGTAAAAACGCCATTGTTATTATCGCATTGAACAATCTTAAAAATTAAAAATGCCTTTATTTACAGATAAGGCCAACTATCATTTATTACAAGTTGCTAAACTGATTTCCGATAAAATCATCTCTTTCCCACATTTCTTCATTCATGGATAATAGTGAAGTTTGAGGACTATTTGTTCAATGTTTAAATCTCTTGATTAGACTTGCACAGACTTTGCTCAAGACCATTCATATCTGTATAAGTTCATCAAAATTGATTATTGAAGCTGGAAATCATAAGACAGAAGAAAAAGTAGAAATGTAAATGAACAATCTAATCTTTGAAATGAGAAAAAAGTGTGAGAATCTCCTATCGCACATACATAAGGAAAATAGAGACACTTATTCGAAAATAGCAGTTTAGGTCAGGATGCAATGGGATGAGCCATTCACTTCCATTTCATTTTCAACGAACAAATGAAGTTTTGTAACGTAAAAACAATGGATGTTCCATTCAAGATCATCACTTCTACTTGAGAACTTCAAATTTGATCAAATCAATAACTTCAAGAAAGCTCAGGGAACAAAAGAACATGACAAGCAAAAGTAAAAACTAACATACGTTCGATAAAAAAAAAAAAAAAAAAAAAAAAAAAAAAAAAAAAAAAAAAAAAAATTGTCAAGAAGCACAAAGCATTGGTAAAATGAAGAAAGAATTGCTATCTATCTATCTCTCAGTGTCCTGCTTTCAAAAATGAACCTCACTCACATGGGAAAAAATTACACTTATTGTAGAAATTTATGAATAAAAGTGAAGGCTACACAAAAAATAAAGCTGAAGACGCAAGATAAATTTGTTATCAAGAGAAGAAAAAAGGAGAAGAAAAATAATCAAAGAGTACTGCCATTATAGCAGCTTAAGACACAGCTTTTTATTTGTAATTCTGTTCTAACCACTGTGAGGGTTGATGATGAAAGAAAAAAGAAAAAAGAAGTGAAACAAAACTCTTGCAAATACTAGTCTCCCTGGAAAGAAAAGTGAGGGGGAAACTTACTTTTTTAGAGCTGAATAACAGATGAAAATTTATCGTTGTCCACCCAAAATGAACCTCATGGGTATCATACACAACTTTTTTAAACTGAAACTAAAGAGAAAGGAGGAGGAGCATACTTATGCATTTTTCCAGATACTGAAAAACTAAGAAAACTGAATTTATCCAAGCTAGAACGAATGATTCATTTTGGAAAAATCTAAAGCTAGAAATGAGGAAAAAAGTAAATAATAAAAAAGAAAAGAAAAAAAACCATACAAATCAAACTAGACCACTGATTTGGAGTCAAGTAATGATAAACAGACGTTTAAAGACTTCAAAGTCGAGTGAAAATCATATTCTTCCGAAAACAAGACAAGCTCTATGACTCATAACAAAATTTGAGGGACTAGATATAAGAAACAAAGCAAGAAAAGAAGAGTCAAGAAACGGCCAAGAGAAGAATTAGAAAATCTTTGGTTTAATAATAAATTCAGATAAGATTTGTCAAGTCCAGCATTTAATTTTAAGTTTAACTTTACCAAAATATTTAAAAGAATGAGATTTAAAATAAGTTGGAATAAATGAGATTGCTTTTAGAAACTGCGACTAAATTATAGTACATTTTTTATTTCATCATTGTTTGTTTTTTTTGTGCTGTTAACACAGTGAGAGAAGAATAAAGTGCACAAGAAAATTAAATAAAAAGAAAAGAAAAAAATGATTTAATTTCTTTGGGATTTTTGTTCGACCCATAATCCTCCGTAATCTTTAAAAATACCCACAAGCCTAAACTTCAACATCATTCCCTTATGAGAGTTAGAAAGATAGTAACTACTGAAATATTCCCCACCATCATTCCACAACATGATAAGAAAATCAATCAGGATAGTGAAGGGGGTGAAATGGTAAAAAAGTTTAAGGGCAAAACTAATAACAAAAAAGGGAAACATTGAAAACGTAAGAGGAATAAAACTGCCAGTAACAGATAATAAAAAAAGAAAAGAAAGAAAAAAAAAAAAACCAAACAAGCAAAAATAATCACGTGCCTAGTTACGTATATATGGAACAATTTTTACATATTATGCAACATATTATGCAAGGGCAATTTCCTGCTTCCCAATCAAAATGGGGATCGAGGACATTCTGCCATAGATACAGAAACGAAATAGCTATAATACATAAAAATAAATGAAAATAATACCTATGTAACTTTATTATGTCAGTCTCAATTTAATATACATTACATATTTGGGTAGTAGTTATGAGAATATCCGAATTAATGTACTATACACAATTTTACAAAGAGAAAAAGCAACAACAATGATCACTTGCGTATCTCTGATAGATGAATATTAGTAAAATAATTACCGGAAAAAATCGGCTGATCTTAACACCATGAAAAAATTGGAGAAAATATTGTGCGATCATGATGGGTCACAAAAAAAAAGTTAGATAATGGTAACCTGTAACTAAAATGGATACTCACACGGCGGCAAATGACTAATTCAAAATTAAATGTATTCTAATGAGCGTCACCGCAATATTCACTCTTCTGAGATGAATCGCTTTTGTTGACATTTCATTACACTAAAATTCCATTTCACAAATTTTCTCCAAGGTAGATTGTAGGTTTTTGAGAAATTACCTCAATAATACTTTAAATACACTCTATGAACAAGTTTTATGTAGGTCAAAGTGAACTGAGCCAACTCCTTCTGCGGCAATCCCAGAAGTCCGTTGGTTCCACAATCTGAGTTAAAAAGACGTATGAGTACCCAATTTTGATACTAGGTTACCCTAGCCTGGATGTACGTCTGCTGGTTGTTCTTTCATAGAGCTAAAGCTTAGATGCTTCAGATAGGAATGCATGTAGATTGGTTAGTCTGATGATATAACTGATCAAAACATATGGTACTTTCCGCACAAAGTTAAAATCAAAATATTTCCTTCCATTGAATATTTTCTTTCTTTACATTAAAAAAAAGGAATTGAAATCGTTATTAAATTTTAATTGATTACAGCTCAATTATAGTTTATTTTCAGAAACGAGCATTGATTTGCCGTCTGAGTCTTGAATAAAGTGACAGCAATAACTTACTTTAACAAATGAAGAAAATGAAAGACAGAAATCGAGGGTAATTAGAATCTTACAATCAGTGTTCTGGCCCAGTCCAGAACCAGTTATGGAAATAAAAAATATTACGATTACTGTTTAAGGAGATCACTTTATACATAAGTATTATGGATGTAGGGGAATTTCATTTCTGAATACAAACGATATTCAGGAAGTACTATGTGTAAGAAAGGCAATAGGATGGCCAAGTAATTTAAGCATAGAAACTTTGAAAAGGAAAATGAAAATTAAATGAAACAATTAGAGCTTACATAATTTACAATTAGTAGTTAAAGTAGAAAATTACTCTAGTTTAAACAACCCTAGAAACCTATAGTTTAAGTTAAATTTACCTGATATTTTGTGACTAATAAATAAAGTTGGAGCCTAAAAGAATGGGGGAAAAATTATGCATTTTAATGGAACCAAGCATTTATATAAAATATGAGCTATTATTGCTAATGAATTCAAGAGTGAAGTAGTAACTTAGGAGGAAGAACTCAAAATTTACCATCCATCAAATAACCAATCTCAGGCTTAAAAATGCAAAACAGATTTTCAGAGGTAATCTCATACCCCTGCAGAAATTTGATTTGTGGACGAATACATTCTTTACATCTTCATTTGGAACAAAACAAACAGATGTTTATTTTCCATGAAAAAAAAGTTAAGCTATAAGTATATTGTTGTTAAGATAAAAAATAATGGGTGTTGAGAGTAGAGATAATTACTGAGAGGGGCTGCAATGTATTTTGATTCTGAAATATGGAAATGAAATAAAGAAAAAGTTGATCTGAGAGAGAAAAAATAATGAAACAAAGCAATTTCATAAAATACCAGATTAGAATAAAAAAATAAAGTGAGATAAAAATTATGAAATTGTTTTGATTTTGCTGAAGACAATTTTCCATGCAGAGTTTTTACCTGCTGGAATTAGGTTTCTCTAAACAACAACAGTTGGACTTGAGAAAGAGAAAAGCAGACATTTCTGGCAGACAAAAAATAGAATTTAAATAAGATAAATCAAACAGTGGTTCTTCCCTCAAAGAAATTAATTGACTTAAATATTTTTTGTAAAAATATGGAGGAATCAGAGGTACAAACATAGACTCGATTACTTCAAAGAAATTTTGATTTTTAACATTGAAAACTGATATCCAAATATTTTACACTCCATCAAGTTCATCATATAGGTATAAAGATATCAAAACGAATATATATAACTTGTCAATCATTGAGATTTTAAAATGGTAAGACTTAAAGCATCACATTGAAAAATGCCGCAAAACATACAAAAGCAGCGAAATCGCAAATAAGAAGGAAAATTGTCGATTTAATGATTCTAGACCACCTAATATTGCTTTTCCTTCTGATACATAAACATCAAAAATTAATTAATCATCAATCATCAATCAATTACTTGCCTGTTCGAACTGTGCCAGAGAGTTATTTTTGCAGAAAATCCGATCTAACGGATAAAAACCCAATGAAAATGAATTAATTGCCTACATGAATTGAAGTCTTTCAGTTGAGATTATACTGATTCTAAACAAAAGTAAATATTAGGAACATAGAGATACCTGTCTTTTTGCAGCTTACATTCTGGAAAGACGTCACTTATTTTTTCAATAATTTGATTTACTTAGATCCTTGCCCACTGGTTACCAAGACTTCTGAGGGATAAATACTCCCAAAATGAAATAAATATTTTACGTTCACAAATTAAGTGTACAAACATTAAGATTAAAAGGATCCTTAGAGACATTCCTAGCATATTTTTTGAGGTGCGAAATTATTAAAAAAAGTTAGTAAATCTATCTAAAACTTGGTCTCTATGATTAAAATAAGCTCATCAAGAAGGATCATCAATGCGACTATTGAGTATTGCTCCTGCTACTACTAAAGAGGCGCTGCTACTTTCTGATCAACATAAATCGTGAAACAGAGTATCGAATAATTAACTTTTGATATTCTACTGGTGATTGAAGGTAAACAAAACTCAAAGATGCCTCTCAATGTTAATTGGAAACACCCAATAGTAGCATCGATGACCCGTTTTAATGGGCTGATTTTTATCCAGGGAACCAAGCTTCAGGAACAGTGTAAAAATCAAATATGAGACAATGAAAGTCTTCTTGACAAAAGAAGGATGAGAGCAATAAGTTATGATAACGGAAGTTAAGAAATTAAGCAAGAGAACATGCCAGAGAAACTTTTAAGAGAGACCGGAACTTTGGATAATACTTTGCTTCTGAGAGAAAAAAGTTTTGGTAGTCTTACCCTCGTTTGGCACAGAATCTAGGTGATAGAAAAGACTTTTGAGCGGAATATAAAATTTTGAGTGCTGCATTGATAAAAGCAGAATTTGTTGATACTGGCAAACTTTCACAAATACAACCACAAAAATGAGCCTTCTATGGTATAAGGTAGACTTAAACGACTCAAACTTTCCATAAAAAGGTGATGAGGTACTTTAGTTCGATTCAATGTGAAAAGGGATCCATCAACAAATTGATTGATCGCCAACATAACAATACCTACCTCTGTCTGAGCATTCATAAACTAGGCATAACAATTTCTGCTTGAACGAAATGACTAGGATAACAGTCTTGAAAACATTCAAACACATAACCGAAACAACGTCAAAGAAAACTGAACTTGCTACATCTTGTTCATCAGTCGAAAAACTTTTTTTTCTTGTCTCTGAATTGAGTATGTACAACATAATTTTACATTTTTCACTAAAATTACTAATTCAACATTTCCCTCAAAACTGGTAATGCGTAATTTTGAAATAAAAAGGAAATTAAAAAGTTTGACACTTGGATGATAAACACGCAAGAGGTGCACCATCAACAAATCAAAATATGAGATTTTTGAACTGCTTACTTGGTTAAACTACAGATACAGGATATTATATGCATAATATACAATGTATAATCTATGAATGCTACGAGTAGAACACAAGGAATGTCAAACTTCCTAGGAGAAAAAAAGAAAAATAATAATTACAATGGTGAATCCATGGATAAAAATATCAAATAAAATAGACAAAATTTGGCACTTGTGAAAATTAAGAAAAAATATTTGAAATTTCCCCCCTCTTTTCGTGATATCTTTCCAAGATAACCTGACGCAGAGAACTTTTGTGATACTTGTGTAACTACACAATATAGTTCAACTTTTCGAGAATGGACGAAAAGAGAAAATCAAAAGTTCTGATTTGGCTTCAAAAATTCCATTTTCAATATACACCTGAGGCCTTATCAAACAAAATAACATGGGCTGAAACCACTTTTTTGAGTGTCCGGCACTAAGACAATTTTGGTGGAGTTAGTTTTCCGTATTACTGAAAATACCAATCCCACAAAATAGTCGAGCTTGAGTCAAACAGGACGAATTGATATATCAAAGTTCATCTGGAAATGGATTTGACCAACCCTGGAGAGATCATTGCGGCTCTTACATCTAAAGGTTGAATCAACGCAGCTAATTCATAGGATACTGCGCTAACCGTACTTCAACGGAACAGTATTCACAAAAAATTGACGACTAAACAAAATAAAATTTTCAGACTCAACCACTGTTCTCTTGAAACACACGCAGAGATTTTAGAGAGGAGTACCACTCGACATGGAAGCCAAAATTTGTGTGTTACAGACGGGTTAAGCAACCACCCTCAGGTGCGGTAGATATAGCTCGCCGGGGGCGGTGGTGAGGGCGATGAGCTCGGTGGGGAGGGGGAAGAGCTAGAGGGAGGAGAGGATGTGGCCAGCGGGTGATGACTGCCACCCCTAGCTCTCCTGCCCCCCTCCCCACCTGATTCTCAGAGATAGACTTTCTTCACACTCCTCGTCGTTCCGAATCCATCTCGGTAGCCCATATTATCGTTCTGCAAAACGAAAGAAGTAAAAGATTAAATTAAGGTCTACACAGAAGAATAAAATCCTACAGTGCCATTTTGAGAAAAGAAGACTGAGGGTAAAATTTTACTGCAAAAAACAAGCATACAGACGTATTCAAATCAAAAAGACCTATGTGCATTGTGACATGGACCTTGTTATGCATGTATTTTCATGGGTACCAGGGCCAACGCTAAAATGCACATAGTTCCTTTTGATTTAAACATGTCCATAAGTCTATACGAATCAAATGATTAGTTATGACCGTCATTCATTTTTAAAAAAAAACCTCTTAAAAAACTGCATTTCATGTCCATAAGTATTTAAAATGATAGAGAGGAATCTCGATGCCACAAGATTGGCCTTAACCTTCTGATTGATCATATGCTGCTAGCTGCCCATTTCAGTCGACAAAATTTAGGCCCAAAAAAATAAGGGAAACATTTTGCATCAAAATTGCGTATCCCTCTTTTAAAATGATATTGTGTCTACTCTTACAGGCTTTAATTCGATATTTTTCAATGAATTTTAAGATTTAGTCACGACTCTGTACCTTACCCCAACATTAAAGAGTTCGTTTCAACAATTTCCTTAAGATAAAATTAATTAATTCAGTAATTTTTCAGCGAGGACACGAGGATATGAAAATAAAATTACAAATTAAAAAATTCTTCATAGATTGCTTTTGAGGATACTCTGATAAGGCTTCTTTGATTTTATCAACAATTTCATTCTTAATTTAAAGGTGGCACTATAGAGAACCCTTCATCTTTATTCAGAGAATTTTAAACAGCCTGTCATCTTCCACTTTAATGAAGAAAACATTAGAAAAGAGATTTATGTACCCCTTCTGTTTACTTTTCGAGGAGGAACGAAGCCTGTACATTGTTAATTTACTTATAAAGCAAAACCATTACCTTCGAGTGATCTCTTTGCGATCGAAGAGTGGCAAAATGGTCTCGGTGCCTCGGCGGATGCGCAGGGGGATAATAATCTGAATTTTGAAGCTGTGCGAATAGATTGTTTTCTTGTTGCTTTCGCAATGTTTGTTTGGGAGATCCCAAGGGCTTGTTTGGCGTTACTAGTACTGGCTCAGCGTATGTTACCTCTTCTTGAGGTAGTAGCTTTGGCTCTGCTAACCGTCTGAAAATTGAACAAAAAAACATGAGACATATGGTAAAAACAATGATATTAATACCTACAGGAATGCTGATAACAAAATCAATGATCAAGATGTAGTATTTTGACTATCATTATTTTCCTATTTACAGGCTGGGACGGAAGGCAACTCAATTACGGTGATGTAAAAATGGTGGATCTTCATCTTTATTAAAAATGCAAAAATGTTAAATAATTTTGTTTTCTACCAAAAATATTGTCAATTTTAAAGGAAAAGAATCCTATAAATTTAATTACTGTACATATATTTAGTTTTTTCGAAGGCAAAAAAGGAGTTGCACAATTTTGAAAATACTCATCAAAGCACTCTCTTATATTAAATGCAGTTCAATTTTGCTCATGCTCTGGATTTCTCATGTCGAAAGCAGAACTCCTTAACTGATCCAATGTGCCGCAGAAGCTTGCTTCAAACTTTTTTTTACAAGGTTATAGGTAAAAACAACAGTTGTTGATGTTTTTCAAATCCACATCCTCCATTGATTCAAATTAAAATCTGTGAAACGAGTTTTTTACAGAAAGGATTATTGCATCTAAATCTCTTGCACCATCCTATATTCACTAAATTGGTGTCAAAATACAGGGTTCAGAAAACTTGGAGCGTGTTTTTTTTTTTTTGCAAACTTTAAAAACTAAACAATTGCTCCTTTTATAGATTAGTTCTGATTGAAAAACATTTTAATGTTCTAGCATTGAAATTTACTTACGCATTAACATTTTGTCTCTGTTCAAAGTACTCGTATTCAGTATCCGGGTATGGTAAATTGTCATCATCATCCTTTCGGCACTTGCGACCGCACAGGTAACCTGATGTGAAACCTACGACTAAGGCTGCCAGAGAAGCAGTTAAAATTGCTAAGGTAAGGGTCTCCACAGTGTAGTGAGGAGGGCGAGCATCCACCACTGAGGGTTCGTCACCTGTTAAGTGAAAAGATGAAAATATATCAATGCAAAATTGTAACTGCAAGTTATCGGTGAGAAGACAAGGATGATGGGAGAGGGTGGTTTCCTTGAAAAAGATTATGACTTTTTTTGAATAAAAATTTTAGAAGAAAAAAAAAAGAAGATTGCTGATAATTAGAATGTTGAATGTTGGTATTTTTTCTTCTTTTGAAATTTTTTTTTTTTTAGGCTATGATTGTAAAAATGGAAAGGGAATAATTCTTGTCAGTTGGCAAAATCTTTGGCAAAAATGTTGAAACATAGAAAACTTATAAATACATAAATGCATGGCTGAACAGTAGATTACGAATGATACATCATAGTTCAAAATTACTTTTTGTTCCTCCTGCAGAACCATATTGAATAATGTTAAATGCAGTGACATTAGAAACATTGTGAAGACTGAGTTTTTAAGACGACACCCCCCCCTCTCACATAAAAAAAATATCAATGAATACCGACGAAAACTTCAATACTAAAAGCTTGACGGCCGAAAGACAAGGCCAACATTTAACAGTTTGAAAAGGAATTTTGGCCTGAATATCAGATTGACGCGAGAGAACTTCCCCACCCATCAGAGAATATTATGCCACATTGAAAAGTTTTTTAAAAAAATCTATGACTTACCAGAAGAGGAGCTTTCCGAGTCACCTGTTATATTAATGACCTCTCCGTCTGGAATTTCTTTCTTTGACCCACTGTCAGAGCCAAAACGAGGATAGTTAGAGGACAAACCACCGACATTGCCAGCATCTTTGTTGATTTTGCCTAGAACAGGACAGGCTTGAATAAGTTTTCTTTTTTAAATGAGTTTATAAATAAAGCTTTGGCACTTTGTAGTTTAATCTGAGGAAAATCCTGGTGGGTAAAAAACCCATGAAAATGTAAGTCCCTAGATTCTGAGTTTTAAACTTGTGCTTCTCTCGTTTATTTCAAAAACTGTACTTGGGATCCCTCGTCTCCTAAAAATCAACTCACACTGAGGGCAAAGCATTTCAAAGGTGAAACTATAAAACTTGTACAAACATTCATGACATGGCAAACTTTACACCAGACATTCGACAGTCAAGATATGCCTCATCTTCCTTGATCCTTCATTGGACGTATTCCTACCAAAAAGAACAATGTGCGGCAAGGAAAGATGGGGTGTGCTCGTGGCAAGGTGGATAAGAACAATGTGGTCAGTGGGCGTGATTCCTTTTGGTGAAATAGAGAAGCGGGATTTAAAACTCAGCGAACAGAACTATGTGCAAACTGAATGCGGGACTCATGAGCCGTGGGCATGGGAAAAGAGCGTTGTGGACAGGGCTCATGAGTTAAAGCAGATAAAGGGCAACAACGGAAATGGCTTCGCTGCTGCTGACATCTTTATCTTCTGGCGCTTTATTATTCCCATGCATTCTTACTGCCCAAGAGCTAACGAGCACACCCAATCTTTCACACCCAAAAAGAAAAAAGTTTTACCAAAGTTCTGTTTGGTAGAAATACATCCAATTGTACATGAATTTTGGCTGATATCATACTGCTAAATCTACTAAGCAATTTATAAAAGATAACAGGTCCTATCTTTGGTAATCTGCATGATTGTCAAACACACTCATGAACGCTGAGAAAAACCTATCAGTTTAAGAAAATACTTACTTGCAGCAGCACAATGAGGGTGGACACCTGTTGCAATACTCTGAGCAAAAACTTTCTCATCGTTCCATCTTGGTGCAGTAATGGACCGACATTTGCTGGTTTGTTTATCCCATGCACAATATGGATCTTGTAGAGCCACACATTCACTGTTGGGAACAGAAAAATAAAATGCATGATCAGCTGCTAGAGTAAATATTAATATTACAGGGCATATAAATTACATTATTATGTTGAGGAGGTGAAATTTTTGAAAAGCGATTTCATATTTTGGAAGAAACTTAATATTTCTCCATGACATCTCACAGTTGTTGAATCAAACATAGTGTTCATTTAAAATGTGTGATTACGTACCTGCACGAGATTATTTTCTCATTATTGCATCTGTGAAGAGCAAGGGACAAAACTTCTGAGTCTGAGACAACTATCAAGCGACCGTCTTGAGAGTTATCCATGTGTGCTACTCGTAAATTGCGGATGGGTACATTGGGCGGAAAAACTTGTAATTCCTCAATGACCACTGGACTGACTTTTTCTGAGGAGTCTGCTGAGTCTGCATTTACAGCTTTCAGTACTTTCCCATTGTCTGGAAATTTAAAACAAAAAACAAAATAACACGTCATTAATATTATTAATATGGCTTATTGAAAAGAATAAAATTTACGAATTGGAGACAATTCATAAAACAATTCGTTTCAATTTCAAATAAATTTTTCCTGCTGTTCCTTGAATAAATCACACAAAAAATCTGCTTCCTTGGTGTTCTATGGCAATCTACGACGCTTAACTGCCAAAGTCCCCTCTCCATATGCAGTCTTTCAATGAGTTGACATTCCCTCATTCCATGTACAAACCCTGTCGCCAATCTTCCACTGGGTACCTATCCCCTTCGTCTCCTCCAAGGAGAAGCCCATCAAACATTTTCTTTGGCTGCCTTCCTTTCATCTATCATTAACACCACCACACTAAACTAGCTATTTGGTCATGACATAGAATGTGTGATGACATTTTCAAATTCTACAATTCGACGCACTCTATCATTATGCACCCAATCTCTTTTAGAAATTTGTGCCAGCCTTTAAAAAAATCCATCTCTGTTACTCTTAGCATATTCTGCATCCGAGTTTTCAGCTGCCAAACTTCACATCCATATGTTAAAATACTTTCCACTACATCGTTGTAAATTTTCCTCTTGTTCTCTATTAAATTTCGTTGATTTCAGAGGATTCCATTCAACATTGAAAAACCACACAACTTCAAAAATTCCTACCGTCTGAATACTACTCTTAAATCATAACATACCTGTGCCAATAAATAATACATCATAAGCTTTTCCGCCTGGCACTTTGATCTGTGGGTCAACTGCAATCATTGTGAAGCGGTAGCTGAAAATTAAAGCAAAAATGAAAGTTAGTGTCTTATTCATATCAAATATTTCCTTGTTTCACTTAAAATATCGTTATAGAATAGAGATGAAAATGTGTTTGAAGGGTCTACATCCTTACATATTTTTGTGATATCAAAGAGATATGTCTCCTAACTTCCTTCTGACTAAAAACTTAAAATAAATTAAGAAGAACAATGTCACACACCGTCGTTTCCCACATGAAGGAATGTATCTTGATTGCGCTGGTTCAGAATTTCTTACTTACATTTTAGTTGATTCCAAAAGAATTGTTACATGAATTTTACTGCAATTCTCATGATTTTTCTCTACCCTTGCAAAAAAGACTCAGAAATGTTTAGACCAATTCAGGCAACAGTTCTCCCGTGCAAAAATAAATTGTTCGTTGTAATACTGAGACAGTGCAGACAAAATACATTTCTTTGTGTGGGAAATGACAATATATGGAAAGTTTCAAAGTGAAAAATTAGATTTAAGAAATGCATACGATGCATTACATTATCTGAGTTCGAGACGCCGCTAATTAAATCTACTATTTCCACAAGAAGTCATCACAACATGTCTTGACACTAATTCATCATTTAAATTGAACCAAATACGCATGAAATCTCATGTAAACCACATCTCACACTTAAGTAAGGGAATATTTTTTGAGTGATTAGAATATGTCTTTCAGGCTGTGTCTCAGAGGAATATTTTTGGGTCGGAGATTGGATAAGTATAAAGTTTTTTTCCCCCTATAAATTCATGAGGAAGTCAAATGTAGACTTGTGATTCAGAGGGAGGAGTAGTAAAGAGAAGATATCACATACAATTTACACTTCTCGAGATATTCTCTTTTTTAAAAATCATTCGTTACAGTTTGTAACATATTTTTTCCACAGTGTCACACTCTTAAAAGCATACACTGAGAAAATGAGTAACTCATCATGAAACTAAAAATCATTAAGATTGGTTTACGTGCAGTTTTAAATTTGAAAGTGTATTTACTAACAAGTTAATGAGCATATTTGAAAGGATGAGAACTTACTGGAAACTAGTGCGAATCACAAGAGGTTGTCCGAAGTATGCTGGCACCGATTCGTCCATCAAAGAATGGGTTTTGATAAAATTTAAAGTTAAGTCAGGAAGAGTTCTTGAGTCGTTTACACACTGACCAGGCCTTGGATCTGGGACCTGAAAATTTTAAAACAAGAAACGTTTAATTTTAAAAACAGGCATAAAGTCATTGTTGCGGCTCATTATTTTTCGATTGGTCCAAAACACTCCCCCCCCCCCCCTGTTAGCATATTCAGCCTGTGAAGCATTTTCAGCGTCAATTTTAGGGTTTTAAAATACGTAAAAAGTGCCTTTAACAGGTAGGACTCCAAGAATAAGGACAAAAAAAACTTAAAGATCTAAAAATTGTAACTTAATTATAATATAAATGGAAAATACTCACTACATTCCCCATTTTATTAAGTTGGTTTAACCTTCTTAATTTTAAAAAAATATAAATTTCATTAGGAAGTGAATATTGTAATTTCGATTTCCGGGGGACACTAAAAATCAATCAAAAAAAGGGGGGATTTTAAAAGTAGATAATTTGGCCAGAAATAGCTCAAATTATGAGCCTGTAGGCAAAAGTGAACCTTTTTTTGTCTTAAGTTCAGAGTGATACTAGTAACTTAGCAAAATTTTCTCAGTATCTCGATTTTTTTTTTACTTCCGATGTAGGGGGATTTAAAGTAAGTCTAAAAGTCTTCTTAGAGGGTTGGATCGCGAAGGGACCAGAGTGATCCAGAGGGCTCACTTTTTGTTTCTGTAAGGGAAAAAGAGGGGGGGGGGATGACTTTGAGAGCTTACCTTGCCACTCTGGACGGGGAGCCAATTGGAGTTGAGCTCTGACTGTTCTTTGAAGCTGCCCTCGAAAGTGTCCGTGATGTCTTGGAGGGAGAAGGCGCAAACCGCTGACCCGCTAATGCTGTTGGCTGGCGTCGTGAAGACTCCGTAGATGAGTTGCGTTTTCGATCCTCCGTAAGTCCCTTCGATGAGGTCACTCGTCGATTCTGCAAAAACACAAACCATCGATTCGCTTATAGTTTCACAAAAAAGGGTATTACAAGATTTCTAGAATGTACTAAAAAGTCAGTTTGAACTTTCTTTCCAAAATAAGGATTTATGTAATGTCGAAGCTTCAAACATCTATTTCTCGAAATAGGAAAAACTGCACTTATGCGCCTTGTCTTCCAAGCCCCTCAATTAGAATTGCGGCGAAAGTTGGCAACTTTTCGGGAGCCATTCATCGCAGGGTTCTTCTCATCAAGCGCTATCAGTGCGCTCGATTTCACCTCAATCGTTTTGAATAACAACTGAAACGGGGAAACGGGGACTCGAGCCGAGCAGCGATCAAAATATTCCCGGAAACGAGGGAAAAAGAACTCCGGAGAAGCGAACTTATTAAAAGTTGGGGGAACATCCAGCCCGGACGCAAATGAATCGCTAAATAATGTAAAATAATCCGGGGGGACAAATTCGTGGCGAACCGCGAACGATAAAAAGTAAGAGGAGCAGCTTCCGTCGCCCAAACGGAAAGAGGGAAATCAAATCACTGCCTTTTCCCTCCCCTGATTTATTTTTTCTCTGCCGACGGTAATTGCTGGAGGTTTTTGTCAAGGCGGCACTTGCTGGAGGTTATCTACCTTTTGAATAGGGGGAAAGACGATGTTCAGGTTGAATACAGCAGAAATAAACCAAGTCCTATAAAGTTAAAACAGAGAAAAAAAAGTGTGGAAGTTTTTCCTTTTTTCCGCAGCCTACATTCAACTTATCCGTAATAACCCTGTCATAGCCATAAAAACTGTCCATAGCCCTGTCATAGCCCTGCCATAAAACTAGTGCATATTCTGTGAAAAATTCGCTCCCAAATTTCAATTATTAAGCACTAAAGAGTCAGTTGGACCTTCTTTTCCACCAAAAGGATCCTAGTAATTTCGAAACTTCAAACACGTCTTTCTCGAAATTGCAAAAACTGCACTTACGCGCCTTGTCCTCCAAACCCCTTATTTATCTTCTATGTCTATAGCAAGTATCGCTTCCACCAGCAGGATCGCCCCCTTTTCTTTTTATCTCTTTTGTCCATAGCTTTGTCTAACAATATCAATGATCAGTCCAAAGGTTGTTCAAATCATCAAAAGATGTGCATGTCCATGATGTATAACTTATCGCGAGCCTCAGCATTTCATAAAAGCACCGATGAGTCCAATTTGGTCCATATCCTTCTTTTCCGCAACGAACGAAATGAAATTAGGTCGTTTCGCAAGTTCGCCTTCAATCAGGAGAGTATAAGACAAAACAACGTGGGCGGTCGAATAAATGTATCACATTTCAAAAAACAACCTGAGAAGTAACAACAGCTCAACGCTGCGCTGGAAAGATCGAATAAGGCCGTTTCAGTTTGCCTTCAATTAAGAGGGTATACTACAAAATTACATGGATGATCGTATAGTTGTATCCTGAATTTCTGAAGGTTATTCATTGTGTTAAAGGGACTCCACAAGTTGTAACAAGTCCTTTCGGGTCCAGGAGGGCCTCCTGGAGAAATTCCTTGAATATTCCGATGTTGTCTACGATTATTATGAGAAAAATTATTTTGTCTGTTTGCCATTCCTTTTTCCAACCCTGATTTAATGAAAAAACTAAAAAAAAACACCAACCTGAATTACAGCGTCTCAATATTTTTACATTTTCTATCTTTTCTCTTTGTACAAAATTCTCGATGCATTTTCTTGAAAAGATAAAGAGAAATCACATGAAATTTCCTGCTGTGATATCGGTCAGTTATCCTCAAAAAACGAATAAAATGGAACCCCCCGTTTTCCTGGTTTTCCCTTACACTTGTAACCCTGACAATGGAAACTATACAGGCCTCTCTAGGGAAGGGGTCTTCCCCACCCCCTTTGAAAAAAAAAACCACTGTCGATATAGTCCTTGGAGGCTATCAATGCGTGCTCTCTAAAATAATTCTATCCCCAGTGGATCCAAGCCATCCATACAAATGCCGATCAATCCTTTCAGAAAAATTACAAGATCTAGGTTACCATGTTGGGCAATAAAATGTGGTTATATCACACGGGGTTCAATGAAGAAAACTTCTGATTTTTAGTACTAACTCGCAACGATGTACAGGATGGACGAGGGACGGCTCGCAAACACGAGCCCTCATTTTTCGTTCGGATATTGAAACGAAGAGGAGCGAATAATAAAACCATAGCGAAGAAACGATTACACCCGCCCCCTACCCCTTCCTCCCCCGGGGTCCGAGGACCGCGCGCAGCTTCGGCGTAATTAACAATTAGTAATTAGCAATTGCACCTTCGCTCCCCTTCCTCATGAATAGTTAACATTCAATTACTGCTAATGATTCTGCACTGCACTGCACTTTGTAGGACCCCGCCCCCGCCTCCTTTCGCGTCCACTTAGCCTTTTCCGCCCGGATCTTTTGACTCCTTAGTCAGCACCCCCACCCCCCTTCGCGGCTTAGTCTTCACTGTCAACTTTAATTCCATTAAAAACTTGCCGCTGAGATACCTCCGTTCCGAACCGTTTTTGCCAAGTTTCCGCTCGAAAATTGCGGGACCGGAGGTATGATATTGACGAGAACTTACAGTCATAAATAAAACCCGAATTTCAGAGTCACGTAAATCAATTAGCAACGGATCAAAATCTCCTTGCATGGCCATCGAAATCATGAGTTGAAAAGAGCTGACTCCGCGAGTTTAAATATTAAAGCCTGACAGAGCGGAGCGGCGCGGCGCGGTGTGCTGCCAGCGCGAGACGCGCACTGGCGCCTGACAAACCTAACGGGATACTTCACGCATTGCGCAATGTTAAAGTATCCACTTGGGTTTGTGGGCGCTAATGCGCTAGCCGGCCGCGCCGCGCCGCAGCGTGCCCTCGAAGGGAAACGAAGCAGCATTGCATTATGGCTTAGAATTTTCGCAGGATGACCGTGGAAGAGTAAAAAAAATCAGAGAAAAGTTTACAACCGATATAATACAAGATAGTATACAACCCGCAAATAATTACCTGTACATTGAGGCCTCTTTGCTAGGGTGTTTACGAAAACAGGCTGGCCAAAAATCGGTACTTTTACAGTCCTTTTTTTAGCACATTCCCAAGAAATTCAGTATTCCTCAACAGAAGAAAATTCGGTACTTTTTCAGTACCTTTATTGAACGAAATTCGAAAATTTTATAAAATTTCAATTTCTCACTCAAATTGCGATAAAAATGACAAAAATTCCTGGCCTCCTTGCAAAATTCCCGCACTATTTCAGTACTTCCGGACCGCCCTTAAAAAATCAGGACTATTTCTGGACTTGTAGACACCCTGCTGGCGAAACGCGGAATATTCTCAGCCTATCTGAATTCTGTGCGGGACGTTCGAAACCGTCCCGATATGCTAACTCGTCGCTCCTTTGACGTAAGAACGTATCTTTATTTCTACATGAGCCCCGAAAAGCACAGAGTCATACGGAGGGCAAGGCTCACGTGAGAATTGCGATACGCTCTTGCGTCAGAGGAGCGAGGAACTGCTCCGGTTCGGAGCCTAGCTATTCCATTTTTCCCCGGCTAACTAGGCCGGCGGAAACCACAATCCCAGGGACGCCACTCTTTTTCGACAAAGCCAACGATTACAAATCAATTTCCACGAGAAAATTGAAGGGACCTCGGACATTGGGCAACGCCCCGACGGGTAGCCTGAAACGATTTGCCCGTTGAAGCGGAACGTTTTGTGATTGAACCCCGAGTCCACCTAGGAGGGGTGGGGGAGCTGGGGGAACTCCTCCCCCTCACGGGGGTCGCCCGGGGGAACAGGGTTGATTTACTCGACGAGAAATCCCTTCCACTTACCGGTGTGATCAGGGATTTTTCACAAAAGCTGACAAACGTGCTTTCGCTGCCAGATTTCGCGATCAAACGTGTCTCTTCAATCGATCCCTATTCTGTTCCTTTTTGAAAAAAGGACTGCATTTTGCGAAAAAGAAGTTATACCATTGCAATGTTTCTTAAAGAATTGTGGATTTTTACGTTTACTACCAGTTAATGAAATATACTGAGGAGCACTAGGAAATAGGAGATAAATATGAGTTGAGGATAATTGTTTCGATTAAATAGCACATTTTTCGTGTAAAAACTGGAATTATTGAAGTTGTTGAATTTTTTTTGTAAGATAAAGCATCTGATCAACAATCAACAAACTTTACTTCCAGCTTCCAGAAGATAGGAATAGAGGCGCCAGGCGCCACACAGTAGATCGAGACAATTGGAGAGGTCGGACATGAACTTTTTGACTAACAATAAGTCTGCAAATTTTGATGTTCAGTTCGTCACATTTTAAATTTCAAGGGGTGCTCTCAGCAGATAATTTCACATGGAAACCAGTGGAGCCACTTTAAAAAACTCAAAATTTTGTATAAACGGATTTATAAACGTTTACAGTTTCCACATCTTGTCCGACCTCTCATATTGACTCGATCCACTGTGTGCCATTTAAGGAGGCCACGTGGGGAAAATCCCTTTCACAGTTTTCTTGAGGCACTTAGGGTAAATTTTGATCAATTAAAGGCCATTTTGAAAAATATGTGAGTTTCACCTCCGCCCCCGTCAAATTGTGTCCCCTCCAGGTATATTTCATCCCCCACCTAAGATTTGGTTGGAATGACGCCCGTGGTAATTTTGGGTTAATTTTGATCACTTTCAGGCCATTTTGAAAATGTATGTGACTTTCACCTTAACGCCCCGTAAATTTTGCCTCCTCCAAATATATTTAGGGTGTCTACTAAAACAGGCTGACCAAAAATCAGTACTTTAACACTACTTTTTCAGTACATTTCCAAGAAATTCAGTGCCTCCTCCACATGCCAAAATTCAGTATTTTTTCAGTACCCTCATTTGATGAAATTCGAAAAATTTCAAAAATTTGTATTTCTCGCTCGACTTGCGACAAAAATGATAAAAAAATGAAAAAAAATTCTGGACCTCCTTACGGAATTCTCCCGACCGCCCTTGAAAAATCAATACTATTTCCGGATATTCCGGAATTGTAGACACCCTGATATTTTACTCCCCACTCGAGTTGGGTTAGAACGACGCTCGTGCCCAGTAAGATATCCCAGTTTTTTTCAGCTTCCTCCCTACTTTTCAAGAACTTGTCATCCTACTATTCTGCCGTACTAAGGAAAAACACCGTATGAATATTCGAGAGTTGCCGAATTTCCTCTCAGAAAATAGTTATTTTTGAAAAAAGTTATGAATATTTCTCCTTGAAATTTTCAGGAACTTTAGGTGGAATTGAGAACAAAATTATCGACAAAATTGGAGGAAAAATCTTCACAAATTTTCCCGAGAATTGGTGATTTATCGAAGAAAATTTGGCAACGCCTGAAGGCTCATACGGCGTTCTTCCTTAGCACGGCAGTATTAGAGAGCCCCCACTATAAAAACCCAAAAAAAAGGGGAGGAAATCGCGAAAAACACGGAGACCGGCAACGCGTACAGCACTCTGGGGTTTCATATTCCATCGCCGACGAGTCCCTCTTGACTCGGCCACCCTGTCCGGGCGAATTTTCCTTCCGGGTGTCTCCTGTCTCCCCCGGGCGGATTGATCTCGGCTCAAACCCGAGCTAAGATGACTCTTGAGGGTGTCGACTGTCGAGTCGCCTCCCGTTCCTTGTCTACGATTTTCTGGGTCGATCTTCAAGACGGAGTCAAGAGGGAGCTCGATAACACCTTTTCATCTCTCCGTCGGAGAGACACTCCTAGCGCGGGAGTTCCTTACCCCCGGAGAAAAATTCACCCGAGAAATCTACATGCCACGAGCGTGAGGATTTTCTGACCGATCGTCGTGCTTCAGATTGAGATTTTCCAGCTCTGAAGAGAAGTTTTCAGCTTTTTTTCTTTTCAGCTTCACCTGAGAAGTAACAACAGATCAACACTGCTCTGGAAAGATCGAATAAGGCCGTTTCAGTTTGCCTTCAATTAAGAGGGTATACTACAAAATTACATGGATGATCGAATAGCTGTATCCTGAACAAGTGCTTCGGATTGAGATTTTTCAGCTCTTGGTATTTTCCAAACTCCTCCGCTTCTCATTCGTTTTCTCTGATTAGTCTATTATGTATCTTCTACATCTACAGCAACTATCGCTTCCACCGGTAGGATCGCCCCTTTTCCTTTTTGCCTCTTTTGTCCATCGTTTTATCTAACAATTTCAATAATCAGGCTGCTGGTTGTTCAAACCATCCAAAGATGTGCATGTCTATGATGCATAACTTATCGCGAACCTCAGAATTTCATAAAAGCACCGATGAGTCCAATTTGGTCCATATCCTTCTTTTCCGCGACGGACGAAATGAAATTAGGTCGTTTCGCAAGTTCGCCTTCAATCAGGAGAGTACACAACAAAACAACGTGAGCGGTCGAATAAATGTATCACATTTCAAAAAACAACCTGAGAAGTAACAACAGTTCAACGCTGCTCTGAAAGATCGAATAAGGCTGTTTCAGTTTGCCTTCAATTAAGAGGGTATACTACAAAATTACATGGGCGATCGAATAGTTGTATCCTGAATAAGTGATTGGGATTTTTCAGCTCTGAAAGAGCTCTTGGCATTTTCCAAACTCCTTCGCTTCGCATTCGTTTTCCCTGATTTTTTAGAGTTTTATAATTGAAAAATAAAATTATTCGGATTAATACTTACGGATTTCGTTGAAGTAGAACGGGAAGTCACCGTGAACAGAGCAGTTTAGCCGTGACTTCAGGAACGATGTCCACCTGTTCCGGAATCTGTGTGGGCCACCGCGGTCATATTTGCAGACCCTCGCTACTCTCGAGTACACAGCCTGCGGAAAAAAACACACGTACAAAATTATTTACAAGAAATATTGATCAAATAATAAAAATTCCGAGAATCGATTTTCGACGAAATGACGATTTTACGAATGAGAAATTACCCGCTCCTTCATTACGATGGTTCTGCAATATGAGCGATGAGAGAGTCGAAATAGTTGCTTCTCACCCCTGATGACTATATGTGAAATTCTGCTTTTAACAAATGCCTTCATTTTGATAGTTATGCAATTTGAGCGACAAATAAGTCGAAATAGTTGCTTCTCGCCCCTGATGGTTATAACTGACAAAAAAACCTGGAATTGGCGATCCCTGCGTCAAAGATGAATGGAGGGTCTCTTTAAAAATAAGTTGTTAGATTATATTTGTGATGACGATTGCAGCGTCACAAGTTTTGTTCTAAATTCATAGTGAGGTCGATATCCGATTCAAAGATTAAATTATAATGATAATAATTCATAATATAATTCGTAAACAATCGAGTTACTCAATCTCATAATTTAATTCGTAAACAATCGAGTTACTCAATCTCAATAATTGATTAAATCCGGTGCGATAACTCTTGCAAGTCGGAAACACAGTTATTCCCCAACTTGCATCTTTTATGAGTATTCGATTCTCGGTGATATAAAATTGATAGAAATCGATTGCCTCACTTAAATTTGAAAAAAATAAACTTGGTAGTGCCCGTTTTCGATATTTGCCACTGGTAGAATCGACTAGAACACTTTATCAGAACTGCAATTCCAGGTTAGTTCAAAGATCTTTGCGTTGAAAAAAAGAAAAGGGAGGGAAAAAAAGGCGCTTAACAACATTTTTTTAGTACTTTGAAATGGTCTATATACTCAGTTATCTAACCCCAAAAAATCGCTAATCAAATCGAGATTTTAGTCTCAGACTGATCTAATCATGCAAATCGGAACACGTCCACCCGAAACGGATCTCTAAGTCCCTACGTACGAGCCTCCATCCCCGACATTCCATAATTATTATTTTAAGTCAGGAGCATATTATGAACTTATAAAACTAGGTCGATGGAGGGGGTGTAAAAAGTGGACCAAGAGAAGCTGAAGGGGTGAGGGAGCGTGGCGTGGAAAAGGGGAGAGAGGGGGTCCTTTGAGGATCGGGGAGCGGGGGGGGGGAGAGAAAAAGCAGTGAGCAAACGAGGAAGGTGAAAGCGGAAGTAATTAGAGCTATGCACAGGTAACTTCCAAGAGATCAGTTCCGTTCTTGCGCGTGAACGCATTGCCAACTTGCCGGAATTTCCCCCAGTTCCGATTTAAGTTTAATCAACAGGGAAGCAAGAAGACACAGGGATCTCGAACGACTTTGGCTAAATTAATGGTTTTACCATACACTGAAAAAAAAAGCTCTTGGATCTAGTCCAGACTCTCAAAAGATTTGACAAGAAAAAATACTCTTGATTCAATTGGGCTTTTGCTTGAATCGAGAGCCAAACCTCTTAATTTAAACGGATTTCCGTTGGATTCAAGCAAAAATCCGATTGAATCGAAAGTATATGCACTGCATTTTGCAAAAAGGAACCAGAAGCATTGCAATGATGGTAATATTAATATGCAGCTTCATTCTTCGCAATAAAATTACTGGACTCATGAAAATACCTGAAAATATCAAGGATAAAATACATAACTTTTTTCAAGAGTAAATATTTTACAGGGGGAGATTTGGCAATGTCTACAGGCTCATACGTCGTTTTTCTTAGGACACAGGACACATCTTCCTCAGTCTCTCGATGACCTGCAGCGTTTCGAGAGGACGAGCTGGAGAAATCCATACTCGGCAATCTGAAAACCCTGCACTTGAGATGGAAGCCACACACACTACCTGAATAAAAAAACGGATCTCGCAAAACCAACAACGATCTTAAACCCCGCCATCTTGCTGTCAACGACACGATACTCGCCACCGAGATGCTACTAGACAGCACTCCACACTCTTCTAAGCTGCCGTGCTGAGGAAAAACGCCGTATGAACATTCGAGAGTTGCCAAATTTCCTTCGATAAAATGTTTATTTTTTAGGCAAGTTATGAATATTTTTCCTTGAAATTTTCAGGAACTTTAGGTGAAATTGTGAACAAAATTATCTGAAAAATTGGAAGGAAAATATTCAAAAGTTTACCAGGAAATTCGTGTTTTATCAAAGAAAATTAGGCAACGCCAGAAGGTTCATACTGTGTTTTTCCTTAGCTATACAAGTTGCGGCAGCACGCATGACTCTCCTTTTAATTGGCAACTTAAAAGTACAGTGATGGATGCAAGTGAGCTCTCAGGGTGGGAAATGAAAAACGACAGGGGGAGGGGATGTTGGCGAGTGAATGGGAGGGTTTGTCTCCTGGATAGTATGGATGATACGGACTAATTCTGTTAATGGAGATGTTGCATGTGTGAGGAATTTGCGATTTGGCTGTTGATTCTTGGCGTAAAAGTTCGCGAGAAACACGATGGTGCCACTGGTTTTCTCTGAAATCAACTCCCAAGCTCAAAAAAAGCTCTCAAGTTGAGGCCAAAATGGAGGGATATCCCACGCTGTCCTGAGAGTCCACCTCTACATCAGGACATACTCCCCATGCAAAGATAGGGAGCAAATACATTGACAGGGCTGCCACTTTACTTGGGAACTCTAAAATTGAAAACACGGCAGCCCTGCTAATGTATTTGCTCCCTATCTTTGCATAGAGAGTTTGTCTTGATGTAGAGGTGGGCTCTCAGGATAGCGTGGGATATCCCCTCCATTTTGGCTTCAACTTGAGAGCTTTTTTGGAGCTTGAGAGTTGATTTCACAGAAAACCAGTGGCACCATTGTGTCTCTCGCGAACTTTTACATAAGAATCAAAAGTCAAATCGCAAATTCCTCACACATGCAACATCTCCATTCTAGCTCAAAATGTCTCCTCGTTTCTCTCCTTCATGTGTTGGTCCCCCGAAAACTCACACAGCCGAAGTGGCACCGCCAGTATGGAGGAACCCACCGCTAAACCTCGGAAATCACTTTAACCTGAATGCCTTAACAACAGAGAACGGAGGTTGCGATAGACGGCGGGGAGGGGGGCGTTCTCTAGTTTTGCCACAACTAAAGTTGCCCCGGTGGTGTAAGAGCAGGAGTGAAGAGGTCGGCAACGCGCAGAACTTTCCAGACAAGCCCTTCCGGATGCCAAATCTACCGAGAAAACCTGCATTTCCCGGGCGAGAATAATAGGAGACCCTGTGGATCCGGCAACGTCGAAGATAACGCTACAATGCTTCCTCTATGCGGCTAACCCTTTGAACTAACAATACGGATCCTTGGGATTGGAAGAAAGAGCGTTGATCCGGCTAATTGGCTGTGCACACACTTCACTCGGCTTTGAACTTACTTGACGGTGCTTACTGCTTACTGCTTACTTCGAGATCCAAGGCGCTGGCACCCCGGAGTGACCATTTTTTCTTTGGATTGCCCTGCACAGATTACGTAACTTTGTCTCCTTAACTTACTTCTTCACTCGGGGTGGATTGGCGTTACGACGGCGATTTGGCGCTGCGATTACGAGAAAGTAGATCCTCACACTGCCTTGCTGAAGAGAAACGCCGTGGGGCGTTTGAATGTTGCCAGATTTCTTCTGGTAAAATATTCATAATTTAGAAAAATTGCGAAAATGTATCTTTAAAATTCTGGCAAATTGTGAGAAAAATCTTACGGCCAATTCGGAGATAAGTCACAAGTTTCCGAGAAAATTTGTGTTTTACAAGAAGTTTGGCAACGGCCGAAAGATCATCAGGAGTTTTCCTCGGCTTGGCAGCACTGGTCTGAGCTCTTGAGTATACAGGCTGTATCAAAGTTAAACGCGAATATTTCCAGAATCGATTTTTGGGATCAAAATCAGACTTTTCTGTTCTGTAACGTTTTCCCGAAAAATCTTCCTCCTCAGGATTACATCCTCTCCCCCAAAACCCCTCTTACAATATGGTTCCGGGTTTTTTTTGGCCAGAGATGTGCTCAGCGTGTGGGAAAAACAAAAGAGCCAATTTTCATGCATTTTCATTCATAACTTTTTTCAAGGCAGTTGGTAAGGACATCAAATGAGTAAGCTCACCTTGCCACAATTGATGTATTCTACGGCAGTTTCCCTGAAGAAGAAGTAGACGAAATCTCCATGCGACATGGAGTTCACAAAATTGGGAGCTAAAACAAAGACAAACACAAAAATTAAAAAATGAGAAAATGAGATCTTAAAAGAGACGGTTTTAGTGGTGAAATCTCATCCGAACTCATCTTGACAACTCTACAGTGACTTAGCCATACTGAAGTTCAACCAAACAGTCGTCAGAGAAGTTTGGAAGCTACAACCCCAGGGTCGATGAAATTAGATTTACTATGTTGTTGCATATTGCACGGTTGTAAAATTTTATCGGCACTATACACAAATTACATAAACTTAAAACTTTTTTGGCAAAACCGATTAATATCACTTACTTATTTTCTATTCACGATGGCCATTTCGGCCATTTCGCACAGTACAAAAAAGATTTCAAGAACATAAAAATAATGCAAACAATAATAGAAAAAATCATTCCTCAATATCAGACCACCTGAGAGACTCTAATTGCAACCCAGATAAGTGCAAAGTAAACCTACGAGGGGCGTTCAATAAGTAAGTATCCCCCCTCTCTAAAATCCACAAGAATGGACCAATTTTAAAAAAACTTGGGCTCAAAATCTTCCTTAGGATGTTTTGAGTTCAACAAAACAAACCGCAACAAAATCGGACCATGTGCGGCCGAACGCGAGCCGTTTGAACGCGCCGAGGTGCTCGACGCTCCCGCCGAATCTGCGAGGATTTGAAGTCCGCTACAGGAGAAGAGCTTCTCTGCCAAAGCCTCAGTCGTTCATCACTGACGAAAAATCAAAGAAATTTTTGTAGAATAAGGGGCTTACCTCACTTCTCCACATAACCAGCTCGATCCAAGCAAGTCTGATACTGAGACTAAGACTAAGAGAACAGCTTTTGGATGCCTCGTGCGTGGAAGTCTTTCAGCTGACCGCGGATGAAAGAGTGGACGGCTTGTTTGACCTCTTCCACTGATTCAAAATTAACTCCTCCAAGTTCAGATTTCAGGAACGGGAATAAATGGTAGTCTGGTTTGCCATTTATTATCGTATCTGAAATCTGAACTCGGAGGAGTTAATTTTGAATCAGTGGAAGAGGTCAAACAAGCCGTCCACTCTTTCATCCGCGGTCAAATGAAAGACTTCCACGCACGAGGCATCCAAAAGCTGTTCTCTTAGTCTTAGTCTCAGTATCAGACTTACTTGGATCGAGCTGGTTATGTGGAGAAGTGAGGTAAGCCCCTTATTCTACAAAAATTTCTTTGATTTTTCGTCAGTGATGAACGACTGAGGCTTTGGTAGAGAAGCTCTTCTCCTGTAGCGGACTTCAAATCCTCGCAGATTCGGCGGGAGCGTCGAGCACCTCGGCGCGTTCAAACGGCTCGCGTTCGGCCGCACATGGTCCGATTTTGTTGGTTGAACTCAAAATATCCTAAGGAAGATTTTGAGCCCAAGTTTTTTTAAAATTGGTCCATTCTTATGGATTTTAGAGAGGGGGGATACTTACTTATTGAACGCCCCTCGTAATTAGAGAGTGTAACAAAGGCAAAAAATTAAATGTACTCGAACAATTAGAAATAGACCGTCATAAAAATAAAGAGCTCCTTAACACTCAATTAGAGAGCTATGTAACGACATTGACAACACCGCCAATCTTACTCAGTTCATACGAGAAGAATGTAGGGAAAACATCTGATAAGACCCTGGAAACAATTTGATCCAAAACGTTCTTGGGTAATTTACCGTGACGAAAAACGTTCTTGAGTAATTCACCGTGACTATAGGATCCTTCTCGGTCTTCGAGGGACAAGTTTTCTGGGAGTATTCTTCAATGCTTCTTGAAACCAGGGCTTCAAGAAGGATTGAAGTATCCTTGCAGCCAACTGGAAGCCTCAATAAATTGAACAATAGGTCGGTCGAAAAAAGGGGCTGAGTTATGGTCAGGTTCAGGTAAATTGCCACTGAATTCGTATCAAACGAGTTTGAAGGAGATTTAAAGGTCCAACCTTGTGGAGTTTCTTTTTTTCCGACCTGACCTGTCGAAAAACCTTGAAAGAGATGGGACGCGAGTCGAGATTGTCAGCTCAACTCCATGCTCAAAGCTCAAATATCCGATACTTCAGACCTTAAAGCTACTCTTCCTACAGGTTTGTTGAACATTTTTTTAACAAATAAGGGAAGATGGAAAACTCCCGGTATTAAGGATTACTTGCGGAATCTTTGGACAATAGATTTTAGAAGGTCTGTGCAATAGAAACCGGAATTTAACTATAACTTGTTTTGTGCTTCCTAATAAGGTTGTTTTTTTAAATTCTTAGGAGAGAAAATAGTCTTTTTAAGAGTTTATCGTTTGTCGAATTAAATTGTTAAAGTCAGTTTTGTACATGGATTGTGTGTCACTCGGGTATATCACGTGGAAGATCGAATACTTTTCATTTTCGCACAGTTCGAAATAATCCCTGCCAGCATTAATCTTTCCAACGCCGCCTCCATTGGCAAAAACTTCTCTTGGACTAATCGGATAACGCACAGCTCCTGCAATGAATATTCCTTGCTTTTTTCCACTTTTTTTGTATCGCTAAGCTTTTAACATGGATTTAAGCTTGGGATAAAGGTATCCGACCTAAACCAGTTACCTAACTCCGCGTCAGGTTTCTTTCACACTGCTCTCATGAATCTGCGATACTGATATTTTCACGGATTGCTTCATTTGCGTCACTGGTAAGAACAAGGTGGAAAAAACCTTGGCACGCACTTTTGCGGTGGATGCCGTCATCCACCATGCGTTTTGGAGGAAGAAATCTCCGTTATAATTGAACGTAGAAACTTGGGGAATAGATATTTTTACTTTTTGCTACTTTATCATTTTCAACCATGAAAATAAGAATCTGGAACCAGCGCAACTGATCCATCGTTTACTTACGCAAAAGGCAAGAGGACTGAATCCTTCAAACGACCATCCACGGTCTCTAATAAAGTACATTAAGCAACTTTTTGGGACCCCCACCCCCCACCTTGTTCATTGTGCAGCTCCGAGGGCGAGGTCTCTCCCCTACAATGATTACTTCGCGCTGCTTTCTACCCGTAACTACCCCTTCAAACTCAATACATCGACTGTTGATTTAAAGACTATAATTTGGCAATATTTCCTAAAAATTCCCCCAAATGTCCGCTAGAAACCAGTATGCTTTGCGCTCATTCCTACGTGACTTAAAATATCGTCTTACTCTTCACTGCCGTGATAGTGAAAAGAGCAGTAAGTGTCAAATTTTCGAAATCGAATTTCCTTCAAAATTCGTCTAATCTCTTTCAGATGAAATCACTGAAACAGCTAAAACAGCAAAATTCATGTTAATTGTATAGAAATAAGACACTTAAAGCCTTAAGTGCGCAAAAAATGACGTAGTTTCAGGCAAGACAGCAGTAAGTGACAATATTCCTCCAGAGAGCCAATGCAAACAGTGCTTTGAAGTAAAGTGCCGCCCTCTTCTGCCAATTTCTAACCTGTAAATGTGTTTGTTGTGTGTCCAAATGGTCCAAGACGCAACCAGGAAAGCATAAAGAAGATAGCACTTGCGGCTGCCTTGCCTAACAATAACCTATAGCATGAAAATGTAAATCACCTTTTTTACGTGATTGGAATAAAATTAGTCGATTTTAATCATCCAAACGATTTCTAGGAGTCTTTCAGATGACTTGACTAGTGGCAATTTGACAGAGAACGGAGGCTTCTTTCAATAAAATTTTCCGGTCAGAAGCATCTGTCCCCCTTTTTTCAAAACTTTATTTTTGCACTTACTGCTATCTCTTTGCTATCACGGTCCTTCCTGGCATCCTGCAATAATTGCGCATTCTTTGATTCCTTTCCCCCAAAAATGTGAAACTTAAAGATAGTCTATACGCAAAAAAATAGCTGGGTGCTGATGACAGAACCTTCTGTTCACAGGGCTCCTGCACTTTCTATCTTATGCCTACAGAACTTTTCTGTTGTGAGAACGGAACTTCGGTCGTGAGCACAGAGTATTCTGTCCTCATTTAGGAAACTTCTGTAACTGTTACAAAAAAGTGCAGGAGCCCTGTGAACAGAACTATTTTTTCAGGGTAATTGGCCACAAGGTTACAGTCTTCAGTTCGAGATTTTGCAGATGATATTATGGGTCTGGTGTGGCAATTCATGAATGATTCTGCTTAATTCATGTGCATGTCTAGAAACCTCAGGTACATAAAAGCTGCATTTACAGCGCAGCTTCGAGCCCTGCGCCAACCCAAACACCACTGCTCTCTTTATTCTTGCAGATCATAAAATTACTGACACCGTCTACTCCCGGAAGGAATAACCCGATCAAAAATTGGCTTGGGCAACGGAGCTAGGGCTTATTTAGAAACCTTCGTCGAATTACAACTTCGAATAGTTTACAGTCTTACCGAATGGTGGTGAGATAGACAAAACTGCTCGAGGACCATTTATAAATTACGTCACCCACCTGAGATGGGACAGGGATAAGAGGGCGATGCGGGGAGGGAGAATCAAGCGTTGCGTGACGTCACGTGAAATCGACGCAAAGCGCCGATTTATACGTGCCTACTAGCTCTGCACCAAAGCCTTAAATTTGCCACTAGGTAACTGGCACGTAAAACTTTTCAATTTTCATTGAATATTATTTTAACTTTCAGTGTCAATTTCGCGGTATCATTGCGGGTAAAATAATGACTGATCAAATGAAAACGGAATGATATGTTATTATTTATCTTAGAATGGAAAATAAAGAATGCATCTTCATTAACGATCATAACAGTAGGGATTGTTAGTACAGCGAAATGCCCAGGGTCGTCGGCGATGCCCTAGTTTCGGTCGAGGC